CATAACTTTGCTGGCTCCATCCGTCCACAGTTTTATCTTAATCTGCATTCCACATTTGATCTGACGTATCAGGATATTTATGGTCAGATGTGCAGCGATATTTCACAGGTAGAAGAGAATTCAGTGAATGAAGAGACACCGAATGACTTATAGTTTTAATAGTTTTCTGACATGATTTATGTAAAGTGTGGTGGTGGAAATTTAACTATTTATTAATGTAGTTGGCGGGCATTAGCAAAAGTAACAAACGCTCTTTAGATCCTGAGTTGTCAGTGTCTCTTCTCCTCGTTTTAGGCTGTTCTAGCGTAAGAGGTGAAGCCTGGGCTAATACTTGTTTCATTAAATTGTCATTACTTCACCTCCTGCTGCAGCAGCCTGGTTAATTCGACGACATTAATCCATGGTATTCCTCGGCTGACTACAGTGAGAAAGACGCAGAGTGACGCTGTTTCTATAATATGTTTTTATTTTGACATTTATATTATTATTATTATTATTAACAATAATGTGCTTTGTGAGTGAACATTAAGGACTTTGCTATGTTAAATCATTATCTCCCTTTGTTGTTCTTTTTAATATTTTTATCCTGTTTGTTTACCATGTGTCAACTCTGCTGCTGTAACACATGAATTTCCTCTTCGTGAGGAAATGCTTTTTTATTTATTATTAATGCAGCGGTTAGGATGTACTTCTTTACCCTACCATGTGGGGGTGCTGTATGTTAGATTACTTTGTTGATGGTCAGAAAATATTGTAAATGTATTAACCAAGATTCTCGTAGCACCAAACCTCCATGACAATGGAATTTATTCACACTGTACTGAAGAAGTTTGTTCAGCTGACCTAGAATAACTAAACACGCAGGAATAATAACCTACCGAGTATATACAGTAGGTAAAGCTTTTGAAGCTAAGCTGAAGATGGTTGGTGGTGGTGAAGTTCAGTTTTGACCCCTGACACTACCCTTAAAGGTCATGCATTATATAGCTTTAAGTGATAGAACGGATCCTCTACAGGTTCAAGTTATTCATGACTTTTCTGTAGGAGATTTTACATTAAAACACTTTCAGACATTCTAACAGGGGTTGAATTCTGATCAGACCATTTTCTCCAAACAGTTCACCTCATTAAGATTCCCTCTGCATCCAGAAGAAGTCCTCTCCCTGGAAATCGGGTCTAGAACTGTCTCCTACCCCTTTCTTCATCAGTGCTGGCCTGCAGAGTTCTCAGAGAGCTGTAGAGTGTAATAATTCAGCCTGAAGTGGGACACGGCGTCACATGCAGATGTGGAGCTGGTCTGTGGCTCTGCCCCCTGTGGCAGAAAGACACCACTGTGGTAGGAGGGCAGACAGGAGAGCTGCTGTTAGTGAAGCTCCTAGCAGTGGCCTCTGGTCCTGAACCACTGAAGGCTGGCCATTTCTGAGCTGCCTAACTGGCTGGCCCTTTTCCCTCTTCCTGGATGTACTCGGCCGTCATGACCTATTTTCATCGGGAATAGTACAAATGACCTGAAAACAGACTTTTCAGTAGCAAAAACAAACAGCAGGATATTGAATTCTGACAAAGACGGACAATTATATTAAACAACTTTGATGTTATAATTTAAAAAAATCCCAATGAGGTCAATTTGATTCCTATCAGGAATATTGTTCCATTATCATTATCATGCTTGAGTTCTTGTCTCTCACACTGAGCAGTATCACAGCTTGGCGACCCACTTCCTGCTTTGACTGACATTGTCTCTCATAAATCAGTGCATCCTCACAGCTCTTATCACAGTAATAACATGACAGTCATCTCCATGAGAGACTTTTCTCATATATTCACAGCAGCTTCACTAACCTGTCCACCAATCCAGTCCAACCCTGTTGTTGTTTAAAAATAGTTTGTAATCATGACTCTTTGTCTCTCATTGTGTTTTTCCTCCGTTTGTTTTCCTCTGTTTTGTGTATCAAAAACATAGCTGGTTCTTAGTCTTGTGCTCCTGGTGCTGCCATTTTGTGTCAGATGTGTGTTTGTTATGTTAATTTGAGCCTACGCTTTGGCTTCTGAGTAGGAGGAAGAGGAGCTAATTTAAGCCTTTGGCTTCTGAGTAGGAGGAAGAGGAAGACAAAGAGTTTTGATGAGCAGATCTCTGCAGCAGACAAAAAACATCAAACAATAACATTTAAATGAAAATGAAAATGTTCTTTTTGTTTCACACAATTCTTGATTGTCTTTATGTCCTAATGTGTATATTTAATGTGATGTGATAATGAGATCCATCATCAGTGACATGTTCATGTCATTTATACAGTAGCTCATTTCTACCAGTGGAGTGAAAGTGAAGCAAAAAAAGGCAGAAGATTTAATATAAGTGGATGTAATGTAGGTTCAGTTATAAGATGAAGGATAAAGAGCCAAAATATTTGTTAAAAAATTATAACAATTATATTTTTAAAATAGTGGTAATGATCATGAGATACTAGTTCCTGAACTGTGACATATGAGGTTCATGAGGATTGTGAATAAAAAGTAAAAGAATGATGAAATCTTAATACTTTGAACACAAACACAAATACATTTGAAAAATAATTTGAGAAAATAAGTAGTAGTGGTTATAATTTTTAAGGTTGTATTTTTTTGTTTAACACTTACAGCTGTTGTTGTCATAATAACCTTCATAATAACACATCAAATGACTTTTAGAATGGTTGGAGTATAAATGACAGACCGACCGTCTCCTCTGTCTGCAGAATGACTGGGGAGGCCAGAGGACCCTGCAGAGGAAGTGGACCACCTTCCTCAAGGCCAGAATGGTGTGTTCAGTTCCAGAGTACGAGCTGCACCTCAACATCCTGCGCAGTGTGTTTGTGCTGCAGAGGGGAAATGCTCAGAACAGCATCTTCTACGGCGTCTTCGGCCTTGAATGGTAAGACCATTCAGAATTCTCCTTTTTCCATCTGCTGAAATCAGGACGTACGTACGACTGGTTCCCTTTTTATTCGTAATCTGACCCTGGTCTGAGAATACTTAGAGAATTATATAATGAAAAACAAATAATGAGTGCAGTGGTCTGGGAGTAAAGTCTTAATTCATGTTTTCATCAGTCTTTGATTATGTAATAAAACAGTCAAAACAAATTCTCAAAGACAGACAGAATATGATAAAAAACTAATGTCTTAAAGGTAAGAATAGCTGTTGTTTTAAACATAATACAGTATACTCAGTATAATGAGTATTTTCATAGAATTAAAATAAAAATTCTGAGAGTCTAAATCCTGAATAATCATATTTTAGTTCTATAAAAAAAATCTCCCTTTAATGTCAGAAATATATATTTACATTTTTTTTACTTTAATCTGAAATCTGTAGAACTCTAATCCTCCTCTTCGACCAAATGTGAACTGGAGCTAAAGTTGTTCATTGGTCAGTGATTAGAGTCACTCTTCAGTCGACAGACAAATAACAGCAAACACTAACATGGGCCAGAAGAAAGTCAGTCAGCGATGATGGGACATAGAGGACAGAGGTCGTCTGTAGAATCTGAGACATGACTGGGTTTACAGCCATGCTCTGCAGAGTCACGCTGCATCAAACTGTCCCAGGGCTGTTTGGATTCCGGCAGAGAAGAGCTCATTACAGCTGTACACTAATATCTCTTCCTTTCCCACTGGATTTCCTTTGTCTTTGACGCTCCGTCTCCGTCCTCTCGTTTGCCCTAGCAGCCTCTCCTTCTTTTTATTCCAGTCACGTTTTCCTTAATTTTCTCGGCATCCATCTCGTGATGGATTCCTTGTAAACCGTGCACCTGTGTGAGTAGAAGTCGTCACCGTGCATTAGACTCAAGTGTGCAGGAATGACTAAGCCCCTGAGCTGCACCGCTCCCGGCGCTGAAAAGACAGATTCTGGTTTCACTTGAGTCTCGTTTTTCTCACTTGAATGCCTTTGAAGGCTGAGGTGGACACACAATGGGCCTGAGAATGTGACGCACATATACACCCCCCATTACTAATCTGTCCTCCAGGGCTCCAGATTAAGGGTTACCTGTCTCCCGAAACGCACCTCACGCTCTTGGAGTAATGTTTTCTTCCACAGGTGCTCCAGCAAAAACCACAAATGGAGCTGTTCTATTTATGACTCACAGAGAGTGGGATATTTTAGTAGTGAGACGGCTGAAAATTCTTCAAAACAAATACTTCCTTCTGGACTGGATAATGAGTGAAGCTCAGAGGATAAAGGAAGGAAAATTACACACCTGTCACAGAAGCCACTCCCACTTTTCCAAGCAGAACGGCCAAAATCTGATGGAAAAATGTTACCACCTTTACACCCACAGATTCAGGAGAAAGGACAAGGCCTTTCAGTGGCCTCCAGTTACCTGTCACCTGTCAGTGGTCACTGTCGATGTGTGATGTGTTTGAAATCTGATCTGGGCGGCAGTTGCTCCTCAGACAATCGGCTCTCAGTGTTTATTCTGTGATGAATCATTAATCCTGCATGTGTCCTCTGCATGTGTCCCCGGGGTCGGGTTTGGCATTGTCTTTCAGGAAGAATATCAAAGCTTCTGCCGTCTGTCAGTACAACTTTGCTGACGTACAGAAGGTTTTTGACGGACCCTACATGGAGGTGCAGGACTCCAAGTGGAGGGAGTACACAGGGAAGGTTCCAGAGCCCAGACCTGGATCTGTGAGTTTTATTAAAAACAGAAACGTGCATAAACACAAGGCTGGTTTTAGACTTCAATCTGCCCAAATATGTTGAATTTGATAAATGTCCCCGTGAAATCTTCCCAAAGCTTTCTGCACCGGATTAGACACCTAATGGTACATGAGAGTATTGCAGAGGGGGAGCACTGATTTATTTATTTATTTATTTATGTCTTAAGGACATTTAAAAAAATAGATTTATATAAAAAGAGTGTTTTTTTCTTATTTGTGTAAGTAATAACAGGTGTTGTTAGCTATATATTTACAAATAAAAACTTAAATTTAACTTGTTGCAACTATTAACTAAAACTTTTTCGTTTAAGAATTTGGATCCAGCAGGTGGCGCTCCAGCTGCACTTTGTTTTGAGAGGATGAGAACCCAGAATGTCAGTTGTTCTCTGTTCTCCTATGGCCATTAAGAAGTATTAAAGAGTTTGGGAACCGATGTTTTCTAGATCAGTGTCCACCGACTCATCACATAGCCGATTCGAAACTTTGAAGCAGCTACTACAAGAGAATAAATTATAATAAAATCAGGGGAAATCAATAATTAAAATAAGAATAGTGTGTTTAGTTCCAGTTGTAGATTAAATCTAAGGCAGCAGGGAAGTTTATGAATAAATGATTAAGTTTGTGTAATAGAGCTTTTTTTCATTCTACTCCACAATTTTCATTAAATCTTTTTTTCTTTTAATTGTGGTTGTCAGCAGGTGCAGGAAGTTAACTCTGTCCAGCTCATATAGACTACTTAAGCTTTATTACTGAATGAGTCACGGCTCGACTTCAAGTTCTTTTTTTTTTCTCTTCCTTTTCAAAGAAGCAAACACAACGTGTCTCACTTTATTTCCCTCCTACGTCCAGTGTATTACAGACCTGCACAGATCCCAGGGCATCAACTCATCTCGAGACTTGCCGGACAACGTCCTCACCTTCGCCAGGAGACACCCCCTCATGGCCACTCAGGTGCACCCAGCAGGGCCGCGCCCCCTCCTGTTCAAGAGGAACGTCAACTACGTCAAGATAGCAGTGCACAGGGAGCCGGCACTGGATGGGAACATTTATACAGTCCTGTTTTTAGGAACTGGTGAGTCAGCAGCCTTGGTGCAAATACACAGTACCAAGACACAGATCCACGTGGTGTAAAACCCTGATGAACCTCACTTAATCTGTGGCTTCTGGCTGAGATTTAAAATTAAAGAAGGCATCACCTGTAAGATTACATGTGTTTCTGAGGGCGTAGAAGTCAGAAACAGTACAGTTGAGTTGTAGTATATTTAAATTTTCACTTCAAAATATATGTCGCTTCTGGAAAACAGCATTGTGTTGCTGATGTCAGGAATAGAGATGTCCCGACTGATCAGTACTTAGCAAGTCCCTGGTGCTCTTAAGTGGGAAAATAAACAGATAATGACATTTTGGTTGTTCTTAATTAAGAGATAACAAGATACATTTACAGTTAACTGGTTTAGACAGTAATATATTGCTGCTTATCTACTACTGTTTTCTGCAGAAGGTTTTACTGTGATCCAAGAAATCTAAAAAAGCAACTTGAAATATTTTCAGGCACATTTATTTCAGCTGTTGTTTGATCAATGTCTGCCTAAACATTTTTAAAAATTAATGATTATATATATTTTGCAGATGATGGGTGGTTGCACAGAGCTGTGGATATTGCTGGGGAAGTGCATATCATCGAGGAGCTGCAATTGTTTGACAAACCTCAGCCTATAAGCACCATGGTCATATCCTCAACTCTGGTATGTCTGCACAAATGCATGTTATTCTGAGAGTTTGAATAAAGTATTCCTCCTAAATCTCATGAATGTCCTCTGAAATGATGGTTTATGGATCAGAAGTGATAGGCTAAATGTTAGCCACTGTGGTACACAGCCGAAGAAGAAGAACATACTGTGGGGACCCTTTTTCATTCAGTTTCTGGTTGTGAATACTCCATCGTGTAAAAACATCTAAAACGTCATTGATGTGTGAGTATATTAAAAATATGTAAATCATGGTGTCCTGTTTTTAGCGGAGCGTCTATGTGGGCTCCCACTCTGGAGTGGTGCAGGTTCCCATGTCAGCGTGTGGCAGATATACTTCCTGTTACGACTGCGTCTTTGCCAGAGATCCATTCTGCGGCTGGGACGGAAAGAGCTGTATTGAAATATCCTCACGTAAACTGAGGTCAGAAATATACACACCCCCTTGGCCCACCGCACAAAGAGGCTCATTTGAATTTTGTCACATCAGACTTTAGTAACAGGGATAAATACTGAGATAATATTGCAGTATCTGTCATAGATCCCAAGTCTGTATTTGCATAATTCCTGTCTGCTGTGTCGTCTGTCTTTTCTGCTTATTGTCATCTTCCATTTATTCAAAAAAGAGAAAAAACCTCTCCTGCTCTTTGTGTGTATTTGGATCGAGGTTTAAGGATGTTTTAACATTAAAGGGTTTAAAGGGAAGTAACAAAAGAAATAGAGTTAAAATAATGGATTTAAAATCAATATTCATCTTTGCCCCTGTGTATCATATGTTTAACTGTTGTGTACCATATTTATCAGCCACTTTATTAGGCACTGCATTAAGCATTACATTGGCCTCACTTTTACCATAAAAAAAATACTTTGATTCTTTTTTGCATACAATATTCAAGGTGTTGAATGTGAAGCTTCTGGTTTTGTTCAAAGCCCATGTTTTATTCACAAAGCCAGTGCAACGATTAAAGTGGTGAGCATATGTGTAACCACATAAAAATTAATAATAAAAAGTGATTTGTTTGGTCAAATGAAAATTGTAATAAATATATATATATATATTGATTATTGATTAGAAATCTAAACATCCCCTTGGTTAAAGCTGTGACACCAGATTATAGATGTTCGCGGAACATTTTATTCATGAATGTAATTTAAATTCATGAATTCTTCTCATTTCAGGTCAGATTTAACCCAGGATGTTCAGAGAGGAATCAGAGGCTGTAAAGAGAACTTTGGAAATGGTGCGTTACATGAACACACACTTAACACATCTGGTTATTCTTCTTTAGTGGAACAGTGGAATTATTCTTCTGTTCTCTCTCACACACACACACACACACACACACACACACAGTCAGGGAGAAAAATTGATTTTGGGGGTTAAAGGTTGACCGTCACGTACCTTCTTTTTTTATGCCTGACTCAGACTCTGGCACTTAGCAGCTATTAAACCATTTTATTGGGTGTCTCTTCCTTGGACTTTCCCCAGGTCCCGGCTCTCTCATTCTCATTTTCACACACACATACACACACATAGTCACATACACGTATTAATCAGTATCCCTCTTGCTGGATGTCAGAAGGTCACGCTGGCTGCATTGCAGGGCTGGGTGCATTCAAGAGTGGAAGGAAATTTAATAGAAAGTGATGATGAGGAATTAAACTGTATACAGCAGGTCCCTCATGGTCACTCACCTGAAACCCACCCTTGCTGACCTGACATCTGTGTGCTGCATCATTTATTATCCCACCTCTTTCACCCGTGTGTGTCTTGTTTCTCATGTCCCCTCGTCGGTGGTTCTGCGGCTCAGTGGTCCACCGGAGACGTTCAGTCATGTCCGGTGACGATGTTCTGCTGCAGTGTGAGCTACACTCCAACCTGGCCACTCCACGCTGGACTCTCAACGGCAGGGAACTCCAGGGATACGACCTGAATTCCGGCTACCGCATCGGCACAGATGGTCTCCTTATAATCGGAGCGCGTGCCCAGCAGGTCGGCTCATACCGCTGCTTTGCTAGGGAGAACTCAGTCTCCGTCTTGGTTTATCTTTACACGGTGCAGGTGCACACAGATCCTTACTTCCCGGTCGAGCCCACAGCCTCCACCATCCCCACTACAGTTTTCGCTCCGACTGCTTTCTCCACCAGCAGCCCCACAGAGCAGCCTCTGCCCTCACCTCCTGCCCCGCTGGCCCCAGAACCAGAGTACCAGGCCTACAGACACATGGAGGCCGTGTACATTTCCCTGGTGGCAGTACTTGGAGGACTGTGCTTGGTGTTGACCGTGGTCCTGCTTTACGTCAGTTTCTGCACCAGAAGGACCTCTCGGAACAGGAAGTTCTCTCACCAAGCACTGCAGGTCCTGGGGGGCTCTGAGAGGAAACGAAGTTCCCATCTTGAACTCAAAACCATCTCCAGCCAGTGCAACGGCAGAGAGCGTCGCCAGTCGCTCTCCTTCTCAACTTTCAGGGACTTTGGTGACGATTTCTTCCAGATCGTTCCGAGCCAGAGCGACCTGTCTCCTGAAAAGACGCCTCCTCCGGCGCCCCCTCTTCCCATGCCTCCTCCACTTCCTAACATGGACTACGCCAATGGACTGTCGGCGACGCTGCCCAGCGTGCTGAGGAAAATGAATGGCAACAGCTATGTGTTGCTGAGGCAGGGTGACCACGACGGCATGTCGCCGTTCTACCACTCCTTCACAGAGGAACTCAACAGGATCCTGGAGCAGAGGAAAAACTCACAGCTGGACCTGCAGCCTGACGAGAGCTCCATCTAGGATCTCCACTCACTCACTCTGTGCTGCGGTTAATTATTTTTCACCTACGCCGGGAGCTGTAGTAGTGAGAAGAACTGACTGTACCAAACGCTGCCACTTTGAACTGAGCACTAACAAAAATGTTCAGCCTCTCTGACGATGTACTTCACAATAACAGTGGACATGACTGAGCAAAGACCTGACATTAAGTAGTGAATCTGTGTTTGTTCCAAGACTGCACTTAAGCAGGAGAGCTCACCACCAGGGGGAATTTTAATGCTGCTCAGTACTGGCTTTTTATGGAGGCTGCTGATGAATGACAAATGACGAAAGGAGGAAAAGTTTCAAAATGGAACACTGAACGTGGAATGAATAAATAACACTTTTTAAGTGTTTTGAACAGTAGTATTAGTTTTCTGTAAACCTGGGGAAAAGTGGAGTTTGATTTGAAACAGAACTCCACAACCATGTAATGGTTTTAAATTCCCTGGGTTGAGAATTTCAGCAGGTTCAATTCTGCCATAATTGCACGTGTAGAGCTTGTCACTGAGTTCTTTTGGGATTTTTTTGTTTTTTTTAAGCAGTTTAATGGCAGTTCAATGGGTTTATAGTTAAAGAACAAATGTGTACACTGCAATATAGCAGCATTTTCTTGGACTGACTTAGCGTTATTAAAAAAAGTTCATTATTAAAAAAAAAAATTCTTTACAGATCATGACTGCGGTGACACATTATAGACAGAGAAGTTGTGCTAACAGTTTTTTAAGAAACTATTTAAGGCGTTACCTGCATTACAATATAATGCTTTTGTTTGTTTTGCACGTTAGAACAAAAACTGGACTGCACACGTTGGTCTTCAGCAGAACTTTGACAGTATTGTTTTACAGTGGTTAAAAACCAACAGGGTTAGCAGAGGAGGTACGTCGTCCTTTAACAAAGGAGCGCACAGTGTCTGTTTGTACTCTCAGTGGGAGGAAGTGTAACGTTGCTGTAATGTGTCACTTTCTGTTCCAGTGAATGAGAGTTCAGTTTGTTTAAACCACTCATACAACAAGCCCAGGTTGCAGTGATTGCATCACTGTTGCTGTTAGAACCAGTGTGTCAGTCCAGAGAGAAACATCTGTAAGAGTTGACTCTACAGCATGACGTAAATCAGTAGTTTATCATTTATTGATCAACACAACACAGCTACAGGTAGTTTTTGTTTTTTTTTCATCGCACCATGTAGATGAAGGGCTGATGACGGCTATTTAGAAGGACCAGGTGATAAATGCTTCTCACCTGGTTCTTTGAACAACATTAATGACAGATACAGGTTTGTGTTCGTCCTCTGCATCGTCACAGTTTACGTGACATTAGCGCAATGGCACAACAACACAAACTGCAGATGCTATAGGATGGAACGCCTTCACATTCAACAGTGGAGGGACAAATGGCTGAAATGAGTCATTTGTAAACCTGTCAGTGATAAATACACTGCAGAATCTGAAGTCAGCAGCTCTCTCAGGTGACTCGGAGTGAATCTGGCATTGCTGACAATAACAGCAGCCTTTGGCTCACCTCCATGAGGAGAGGACGCTGGCTCTCTCTCTCTCTCTCTTTCTTTCTCTCGCTCTCTTTCTCTTTCTCTTTCTCTTGCTGTTTGCACAAAGCTACGTTGTCTTTCGCAGGTGATGCAGACAGAATACAACGACCTTCATCTCCAACTTTGCCATTCATGAAACAGATGATGAATGATGCAGACAGAAGCTGTTTTACAGATCGACAGAACTCTTTTTTCCCCATTGCAATTAAGTGGCAAACCCCTTCTGTGTTAAATTTGTACTTTGACCATTTATGATCCCCAGAGATTTTTATCCATATTGAAGTTGTTTTTTATCTTTTCCTCTTTCAACCAAGGCCTTTTGCTTGTTGTATTTTTGCCGCTTCCTCCTCGTCAGCCCATTGTGAAGCTTGTGTTTATCCCTGTCTCTGTTTGCTCTCCACTCGGCTCCTACCTCTTTTGCTCACTCGTCACATTAATGCTGCGTGGCCACATAATCTATTACTGTAGTATCTGCTGCTAACATTTACGCCCTCTCTCTCAAGGACGCTGCTGAATGGACACAGATTAGAGTTCCTTTTCAAAGAGCACATCCATCTGTACTGGTGAAAGTAGTGACTGAAAAGTGTTGTTGTCACAGTTTTATTTTAAGTTGACCTTTTTTTTACTTCAAAGCTTAATAAATATGAATCTTGTTATGTAAACAGATTGTAAACATTTCTAAAGGACAGACTTTGGGTTAAAACCAGAGCTTCTTTTTACCTGTATTTAACTGTATATTATGTAAAGGTTCTCCAAATAGTTTTCTCTTTTCCCCATGTTTGAAAAAACTGTTATATTTGATGTTTAATTTCATTCCGTTGTGGTTCATGAAAAGAACTTGCATTGACTGGTGACTGTGAGTTGTGCTGTTTGTTTTTCATGGACAACTTACATAATCAGTAACGCGTTAGCTGCCTGTTTTACCGTTGAGTCGTTTTTGTGCACAATATGGCAGTGAATTCAGTAGAGTTTGTGACAATAGTTCCATCCCTGCTGATCTCTCCTGCAAGCTAAAGAATCTTTTTTTTCAAGTGATGGCCAAAGAAACCTGTATAGTTTGCAATTTGCACTGTCCTACATAAATACTTTGTGGTATTCCTCTGTAAAATGTGACACTTTTCATCCAGGTGGTTCTGCTTGAACATTCTGATGAAGAACTAACCTGAATGTTTGTTTGAAATGACACTGTTGCTTTCTGTCATAGTTCAACCATCTAAGGTTTAGGAGAAAACAGGTTTTATGTAAATTCCTATGTCTTTATTTATTGATTTACATTAATAAACCAGTGTTTTGGTGTTACTGCCCCCTGTTTGCAGTAAGTATTTTTTACTTTCTGTTTTAGGCACTAACATTTTGTTTTACCATAGGGAAATACACCTAGTCAGTGGTCCACTTGTAATGCTTCTCCAAAGACTGCATGTTGCTGATAAGACCTGCAGAAGGCAGGGAAATGAGGGCTATCTATATGTTTTAAGTTTTGACTTCGGCTGACCCAAAATCACTTGCATCAAGGGCATGTGTTGTGAGCCTGGAAAGCAAACAAACACATTTCTAGCCAAGACAGAAGTTCTTTGAAGACCTAACCTATTCACTCTTTGGGAAAAAAATCCTTTTCAGCTTGGCTAAAAATATGAACTTTCATCAGGAGTCCGTCGGGGAACTATCAATGCATGACATGTTCAAACCTGCGTCTGTTCACACGACACCAGCTGTTTTCAGCTTGGCCAAGGCCATTGTCCTCCACTGGGACTCTGCTCATATGATCCCAGAATTATTCTGTGAATGTGCAAAACAGCAGAGGTATAACATTGGCTTGTTTTGTGGGAATATAAAAAAGCAGAGTTTTTACAGCAGTGCCCAAGGCCTGTAACTTAGCAACAGCATCTTTATTTAGAGCCCCTCTAGTAATGGTGTGGGTCATTTTGTGCTAGTCCACACAGGGTGCCACGAACGCACAGTGGCTTTGATAAATGGAACTGTTGTCATATACAAATGAAAATCCATTAAAAAAACATTCTAATAAGATTCACCAGCTTTGATTCAAACAGCAGCAGTGAGTGAACACACTCCCACCAGACTGCACACTTCTACTTAATAGAATTTGGAGGCACAAATGCAGACTGGATGTCATTTTGGCCGTATGGTGACAAACAGTGAGCTGAGTGTTAATGAGATGTATATACATTTCATTACTGTAGGTAATCTAATTAAACACAATTCAAATCACCCAGACTCACACGTTGTACTGTATTTTGGCTTTTCTTATTTGTGTTGACTCTTCTTTCCTAATGTCATTATTACATCTAACTCTTCACTAAGTATCAATGTTAATTCTACAGGTGAAAAGAACATATTAAAACTGTTGTCTTTCTTCAGCCACTGCCTTTAACTACTGCTACAACCGTGACAAACCTTGAGACAATTTGTTAAAGCAGGAAAAACCTACGTCTTACGTTTCACACCTTATTTTACCACTGAAATAAACTGCTGTCCAGAAAACATGGAAAACAGTTTAGATCAAGATCTGATCTGACTTTGTGTATTTTTCCCATCCACAGACCATTACACACCATTGTTATAGCTCCAGTTCTTTGATATAAAGAGTTGGGCTGGTCAACAATAATAGTTGTGAAACACAGATTTTGAGGAGGGCAGCTGGACATGAGGTTTCGACGTAAGGCTCGTTGTTTGGCCATGAACATGTTAATAAATATAAAGAAGAGCGCACATTAGAAATGTCCAATTTAGAGATACAAACTGATGTAAAAGATGGGGTTTATTTAGATGAGTTTAACTCATCCACTGGGATCAAAACTGCAAAGTAAGTACAACTATGTCGGAAGAAAGGGAGTTTAATCAGTGTCCCTCTGAGCAGCCTGCCTCCCACATCTTTACTCATCACAGCGCTCTGCAGTAATTTCACATATCTATATAAAGTCTTACAAGTTGCCAAAAGACCCTCTGGTGCTGGAACTATCACTGTCATTAATTGTGTACTTTTCATTTCCGGCTTATCCAAGTTCTGACATTTATACTAATGTGATCGGTAACATTTAGTGTGCTTTTGTATTTTTGTTTTAAAGAACACAGAGGTCAGAAGCAGTTCAGTGAAGAGGTAATCCACAGTAAAAATCATCATGGATGAGTGACAGCTTCCTGCTCCCAGTGCAGAGTTAACTAAGACAGATCAGTGCTAAAGGGTAAACCCTGTCCATCAAACTATGACACAGCCCATCTGTCATGTTTACTTCAATCCTGGATCATTAACATTTGTACAGCAATGGAACCTTCAACCTTCATCAGCATTACAGTTGCTTCAACATGTACATTATCCACATCACACAAATGAAAAGCTGCACTCTGATGTGTAATGTGTCCGCTCAGCTTGTTTAATCAGCCCTGAATATTACTCACAGCTGCAGATGAGTCAGTTTTGCTTCAATGACCTCAGTCTGAAATGCTTTTAAAATTTTAAATTAAATCTAAAATGATCACAGCAATGACATACTGTACATTGTGGGTATTTCTTTATTTCAACCCAAGTTGTGTCAGACCAGATACACAGAATCTAAAATAAACATCTCCTAATAAAGGACCACATGGTGAAAGTCTATTTAAGAGTCACATGACTTCCAGGGCCGGAACCTTGGCACCACGAGACCAAAGAGCATGGAGGAAAATGTTGGGTCAACACTGAGATTTCTGCAAAATGTCCAAGAAAAACACAAACAGAAACCACTACAAACATGAGAAGATCTTGACCCGAGCAGACAAATAAACATCTCTCAAGGTTGGTCTTGATTCAGCCGTTTCTGTGGTCTAATGAGGCCAATGCAGGGGGGCCTGTTGGTGAACGGGTGCCACTGTCCCTGGATACTGGGGTTGTCTGTGTGTTGGGGATTGCGAATACGAATGATGTCCTGGCCAGACTGATTTGTCAGTTTGGTCAAAAGCTCTGAGATTTGCTGAGATGATTTGTTTGTGATGATTTCTTCCTTGGTGTTGCCATTTACTGCAAAAAGAAGAAAGAAAGAGGAAACTATCAATCATTCCTGTTAAGATTGTGAAATAGAACAGAGGCTCATCCTGTGAAACCTCCCACAGCACTTCAGTCAACAGTAGTTCCTGAAGTACAGGCTTACACTGCCCCCTACTGTAGTTTAGAGTAGTAACAGATAAAACCATTAGTGTATGGCTTTTCTTTAGTAACACACAAAATAGTTTCACGTTTATGCATAGGTCCTGTTTGATTAATTTCTTTTTTTTTTACAGACTTTATTAATGCATAAAGATTAAGCCAGAAATATACTCTATCATGTTTTTATTTCACACTGCACCAAACACGTTTTGTTACTATGGCAAGCCATAAATAATACTGGTTTTTATTTATTCTAAAAGAATGCACTTACAATACTCTGCAACTATTTTGGGTATCCTGCTGGTTTGAGGACTCACATACACTACGGTTCCAGGGTTCTTCTTGGCATAATCCACTACTCCTTCTTCAACGAAGTCCCTGAAAACATGACGACAAAGAAGATGAGAAGGAAACTCTTCGTGTATGTGGTGGAAACAGTCTGACGCAGCATTACTATAAATCTAAAATGACATTATCTACTTTTAAAGTTAAGGCTACTTAATAAACTACCTTATATATGGACAAGAATACATCGCGTGTGTAGGTTTTTCCACACATATGTAAACGTTGAATAAAAACGTATATAGATATAAACAGTGAACAAATTAAACGACAGTTATTTTTTCTCACCTGGCTCCCAGTGAGCCCTGGTTGGTTTTGGAGAAGATGATGGAGACCCGCTTTAGCTGGCACACATACCGAGCCAGGCCGTTCTGAAGAACACTTCTAAGAAAGCGGCTTGGCGTCCCCCTTGAAGTCATCTTTTAAACAAGATTTAACTTAATAGATAGTAAATTAACCCAACAGTAGACAGTTCTAAATAACATAATCCATTTAATCCCCGACAACAGAAAAAAAAAATGCACAGAGGACGATTTCACGGGCATGTACCCAGAGCTGTCCGTCTCAAATAGAGTCCGTAAGGAAACGTAAATAGTTTAAATCGTGGATTAAATTGTAATCAATTTGTAATTGGATAGTAACAGGATATATATGACACATATGGATTTAAGTGAAAAATTGTAATAAAACCATTTTATTTAATGTAGAGAATAACTACCACTAAAAAACAGCCACTTTCCTACTTCCGCTCCATGTTTCTTGGGGTTGTATTTTGATGAAGTACTGAAAGCCCGGGTTATAGAAGCGTGGGGATAGAAATGGTGAATAACAAGAAACAGTAAGTATATAGTACTTAGTACGTTGTTTTATGAATTACTGTTATTATTTGTGATGTATTTGGCTTGTGTTCTCACGTGCGTTCCGATTGTTTTTGTCATCTTGTTAATTTAAATGGTGACATAGACAATATACAGTCTAGTTCGTCCCTCTATTTTAGAGCCACTGGCTTAAAATGTTTTTACGTAGGTGACCGGTGGTTGCTTAAGAAAAAGGAATTAATAGAAAAGTATATACTAGTTGTCGTTTGTGAATATCTTATAAATATAATATATATATAAACAGAGAGCATAGAAGTGATTCAAGACATTTGAAGCATCTATTAACATGTCATTAATTATTGCAGCACCAACGTTGTAAACGGATAGGAGATGTGGACGAGGCTGCTGCAGAGGGGGACCACTAGCATTACGCAGGTGGTAAACCCAACCTTCCTCCACCAAAGACAGCTTTCGTTCCTGTGTCGAAGAATTCTCTCTTACGGAATAGATAATAGACTCCCGTGTCCTGTAAGGCTCAGTGGGACATGTTTTTTCCATGCAGACTGTGGAAAACGAGCTTTTAAGAAGGATGATAAATCTACAGTGGAGTTCCCCGTGAGTCCAGTCTCAGTCACAGATATCAAACAGTATATACGCAGCAGAGATATTCCCTTCCATGATGGCTACAGCTGCCTCCATATCCCGAGCATCTTTGTTGACCCGTCTGTCAGGAAGGACAATCTCTCCCTGTTCATCAACAAAACCACAGGACAGTTTCTGTGCAAGGACACACTGGTGGAAGGAAGCTGGGAGGATTTTCAGGACTGTCTCGAGGTGATGAATCGTGAAGGACAAGACTTCCTCAGTCCCCATTTGCTCTTGGGTTATTCTGATACTGTAGAGGAGCAGGAGGAGATAGACAGGGAGCTGAGGGAGGTGCAGAGGATCTGGGCCAGCTCTGTGCCACTCAGTGACATCTCAGAAGATGAGGCTCTGCTGATTAAAACCATGTTCCAGGTACAGGTTTTGTCTTTGATGCACTCAAATATGTCTTATTTATTGAAGGCTATTTTGTGATTATAAAAAATAAGTATTTATCAGGGAAGATTTTGTCATGTTTCAATATTTTGGTTTTTAGATCACAAAGGTGTCCAATGCAACACTGAAGAAGTTTGGTGTGAGGCTTTTCAAACCCACCAAGAGTCTGGTTTTACCCTGGTTTGGAGGACCTGACTGTTCTTTAAGAGGACTGAAGCTTCTCTCTGCCCAAAACACAGGCACTGACAAAGTGACATATAATGAAGCTATGTTTCCAAAGAGTACCTCTTACTACAACTTGTTTGGCCTCCCTCTGATAGACAGTAAAGACTCTGAGATTGTTCTGACTGCCAGTGAGCTGGACACTGTTGCTGTAAGTCAGGCCACTGGACTTCCCACTGTTGCACTTCCACGTGGGGTCAGCACCCTCCCTCCGACCCTCCTCCCTTATCTAGAACAGTTCAAACGGGTGACATTGTGGCTGGGAGGAGATATTCGTTCCTGGGAAGCGTCAAAACTGTTTTCCCGCAAGCTTGGCCTGAGACGCTGCTCTTTGGTGCGGCCTGGACAGTTTCAGCCTTGTCCTATGGAGGGGCTGGCTCAGGGGACAAATTTAGGGCGCATCATCAAAAATGCCATCCCAGCGGCTCATAAGTCAATAGTTTCCTTTAAGCAGCTCAGAGAGGATGTGTTTGGAGAACTGTTGAACAAAGAGCAGGTGGCAGGAGTCAAGTGGACGAGATTTCCAGAGCTGAAACGCATCCTGAAGGGACACCGCAAGGGAGAGCTGACTGTTTTCACAGGTATGATAAAATACAATGTAAATGGTTTTCCTTGCATATGTAACAGAATAAATCATAAATGCATTGCATTCTTTGCCTGAGCACTCACAAAGACTAACATTTATTAAAATGTACTTAAAATTACCCTGGAGAGGAAGTGCACAGATTAACCTGTCAAACAAATAATTTAAACAGTTAATTACTGTTGATGTATTTCTGTTCATTCATCAGGTCCGACTGGCAGTGGAAAGACGACCTTCATCAGTGAAGTGGCTCTTGACCTCTGCATGCAGGGAGTCAATACTTTGTGGGGCAGCTTTGAAATCCACAACGTTCGTCTGGCTAAGATCATGCTCACACAGTTTGCGAGGCAGAGGCTGGAGGAGAACCTGGAGCAGTACGACTTCTGGGCGGACAAGTTTGAAGAGCTGCCGCTCTACTTCATGACTTTTCACGGGCAGCAGAATATAAAGTAAGATTTCCCACCACTCTGCTTTCTTTTATCTAAAATATATGTGATTGTTTAAATTTATATAAGAAAAAAATGTAAATTTACTCCTAAACATTTTCCAGGACTGTTCTTGACACAATGCAACATTCTGTTTACCTCTACGACATAAACCATGTCGTAATTGACAACCTGCAGTTCATGATGGGACAGGAAAACGTCTCTGTGGACAAGTAAGTTTCACCAATTAGTTCCTTATAATTCTAAATGAGAATGAGAATTTTAAAAAAAGGTTTGACTACACTGTTTATGTCATTTAGGTTTGCACTTCAGGACCACATTATTGGGGCATTTAGGGCATTTGCCACAAACACCAGCTGCCATGTCACTCTCATTATTCACCCCAGAAAAGAGGAAGACGACCGCGACCTGCAGACAGCATCTATTTTTGGTTCTGCAAAGGTACATTTTTTTGTTTTTTTTTTGTTTTTTTTATGCTTAAGTAGTTGTCAATGCAGGTTTGGTCTCCACAGAACCCAGACCCTGTGAATGAATATTGGATACAAAGGACTCAGCAACTCAAAACATTTCTAGCATCAAGAGAAGAATTCTGGGACATTGTTCAAATGTTCAAAAAAATATGCCTAATGATTTAAAAAAAAGTGTGCTATCATGACAATTCAGAAATACATTATTGAACTCCACAGGGTCAATAATTTATTTATATATATATATTTATTCATTAATTAAACTGAATTAAACTGCTCTTGATTTCTCCAGGCCAGCCAGGAAGCGGACAATGTTCTCATTTTACAGGAGAAGAAGTTGGTGACATGCCCCGGCCGCAGGTCCCTGCAGGTGACCAAGAACCGTTTTGATGGAGATGTGGGCATCTTCCCAATGGACTTCATCAAGACCTCACTCACCTTCTCCGCACCAGTGAAAGGCAAACAGAAGATTAAGAAAGTAGTATTGAAGCCGGAGAAGGAGTCTGAGAATGACGAGGAAGTGGGGACCAAGGAGGAGGTAAAGAAGGAGAAGGCGACAAGAGGAAGCAAAGCGGCAAAGTCTCAACGCCCTGTCGAGAATCAGGCGACTGAGTGAAGCTACCCAGAAGTCAGGATTAGGCCATTTCTTTATCCATGGAGTTATTGTATTCTCCATGTTTCATGTCCATCCATACCATTAGGTATGTATTAGGCAGGGTCAGAGGTTAAGTCCATCGGCAGGAGGAGAGAGGAGAGATCCCTCCCTTGAGAAGGTAACTTCCTAAGATCCTGTACAACCACAGTCACAACCACTGGCTTCTTCATAGTGTCTTCTGATGCAACTGTGACTGACGTTAAACGTCTTATTCTGTATCATTGTGCACATGATACTTTTCTACATTGGATAAAAGGTCAAATGAAGTATACAGCAAAGATATTTCATATTTCAAATGTATTTTGTTATGAAATGAAGTTTGGCAATAATGACATTGACTGTAGGTCCTGCACAGTTTATAAAGCTTTTCAATGGGAACACTTCAGCATAACAACACTGAGTTACTAAAAACACAGTAAAGAGGTCCCTAATTTCATTTGATTTTTTTTTCATCATGATGATGTTTTGTAATTCACAGTGACATATTTCACATTGTGTGTGTGTGTGTGTGTGTGTGTGTTTTTAACATATTCTTGTATTCATGTTCATCAAATAAGCTGCTTTCTTTCAAACAAAATTTTGGACAACTCTTTCGTCCATATTTTTATTTATGGGCGGCAGGGGGCACTGTTTTTCCTATGGGCGTCTATGCACGTCATCTATAGCTCAGTGCTAACGTGCATTTGTTTAAGTGTTTTCACTGAAGGCTTTAATTTGTTGTTTTTTTTTGTTTTTTATAGCTGCAGAAGAATTTCGAACATATGCTTGAATTTCTACTGTTGGAAAAAATAATATTTTAATTGGCAGAATTGTCCATGATTTAAGGTGTGAACATTTAAAAACTAAATTCATTCTATTTCCTTTGACGCTGATGCAGGTTCGATGGAGTCAGATTTCTCATTAGGTTAAAAAGGTGACGATGCTCATGGGGTCCTTTGCCTCTGCCTTTATTATGAGACCAGACGTTTTCCAGAGTCACATTACACAATCCATTATTTACACTGGTGACGAGTGTTTCAAAAACATCTTGACTTAAATATTTCATGTGTAAAATCCATGAGCTGGTGCTGTGTTTCATGTTAGATCAGCATCTTTTACTAGAGGTGAAGAAACCTGCGCTGTGATACAGAGGAGGCTGCAGAGGGATGTGTCATCGTTCATCAGTGCAAAGAAAAAGATTTCTGAGAGAAGGAGAGAATCTACTGTGTGAACTTATATATCAGGGTTTTACATTTTCATTCTTGGCACATTACACTACTCTGGTAATAAAGTTGGACAAGGGATTTCCACATACCCAAGGACTTGGGTAAATAATTAGAAATAAATATTAGAAAAAAGACAGAAATTTCTTAATAAATATAATTTTTATAATTGGAGGTTGACCCTGAGTTGTTAAAATTGCACATCAAATAAATACAACTGTATTTCACTAAATATACCACACATCACTATACCTGTGTGTGTGGAATAACATCTTTGTTACCATCACTGATGTCCTCAGCCACTGGTCAGAGGTTGGCTGGTCTTGCAGTGTCCGAGGGTGGTCGGAGTGCGACCGCTGGAGGAGTGATCCCTGAGGATGCTCGGTGCTGTTCTCCTGAAGCTGAAGCTCTTCACAGAGGTACATCTGTGTTTAAAATCCTGTGATATTTGTTTTCAATTGTTCCTAGTTTAACTTAACTGGCCTTTATACATTTTAGTTTATAATTAATCACTCCAACCACTCTATTTACTGGTTTATTCTTTACTTGTTGTTACACTGTGCTAAAAGAATGACATTACCATAAAGACCTTCTCCACCTGGAAATTATTCCCTAATTCATTTTCCTTTAGGATTTTCAGGTTTAGAGTAGAACCCTGGTCTGGTCCTGAGATGTGAGCTGTATCTCAGGAAACCTCTGTCACCAGACCCACTTTACCGTTGGTATGTGGACGCCTCGGCTGCACTGAAAGCTGAAACTGGTTCATATTGTTGAAAGCTGTGGGAAAACAATTCCTTGGAATTTGATGAATATAAATCACTATAGATGAGACACCAGGAGGAAAGACGGTTGTCTGCCAGAAGTAGTGATGGTTGACAGGGATTTGATTCCAAGCTTTTCTGTTTCTTTCCTGCGATGTTTTAATGTTTTGCCGTGAACCTTTTACTGCTGTTCTGTAACGACTCCAGGCTGGGTGAGACATGGTCGCTGAGGCCTCTGAATGGGGTTACTTGTGCAGGGAGGCAGTGCTGTTCTCACATGATGTTGGCTCTGCCTCCTGCCAGCTCTAGAAAGTAAACACAGAAACACACATATACTGTACACACAGCAGACTATGTAAGGATTCAATAATTAATTGTGAACTTGAAGATATTTTTATGAAAAGCAATGTTTTTGAACACAGCATGTTTAAACACCTCGGCTTCATTTAAGAAGTTAACGATATTTGACTTTGCATTCCAGTGATTGTCAACTGGCAGCTCTTGACTGACCCAAAATTAATGTCAAATAATTAAGTTAGACAAGAATGTGATTTTTTTTTTTTCCTGAGTGTCGGCCCAAAATGTGTTTCCAGAAAAGCTGTGGCCCGCCAACATATAAAACATTGTTGTTGTGCCCAGTGCGCCCAAAATAAGTGAAGCAAAGAGATCTGTTCAGTGAATGCACGATCGTCCTTGATTGTTTAATATACCGTGGACTGATCGTTCATGTGCATGCCTAAAAGTAAATAGTTGTCATCTGGAGAAAGGGAGGAGACCGAACATCTTTAGTAAGGCAGCTTTTAATGTCATGTCAAAAATAAATGGTGCAGAGACCGAGTGGATTCCTCTGCATCAACATCTAAAGGATTTGAGACTCCAAACTAGATGTTTCAGCTGCAGAGCAACCCTGCCTTTATGAAGTATTAAAAAAGAAAAACATTGATTGCATGTCATAATTAAGAGCATTAAAGGTGGACGTGCTCCATGAACTAATAAGGAAGAAACATCCAGGCATTTTAACAGTTGGAGGTTTCAGCTGCTCCCAGCTCTGCTGATGATGACATGCAGGCATAACTCTCTGCTCCATTAGCCGGCCCTCATTATGTCAACTATTCAACCAAATCTGGAGGTAATTTTCAGACTCTCAGTCAGAGCTAATCAGCCTGGGACCTAGGCGCTGCAGAAGGACTTCACTCAATGTCTAAGATGGAATGTTGTGATAGTGTCTCCTATTGATTAAAGCCTACATCTTAATTAGGTAAAATGCTAATATTTGCTTTGAGGCTGAGAGTACATGAGATGCTGGGCAGTTACTGAAGGCAGTAAGAGAAACATGATGAGTGGCCTGGCTCAGTGTGGAGACAACATGTAGGTAATAATGAAATTATGAAATATCATCAGTAAAACACAACGTCTTCATGCACTTCAAAATGTGCAGTTAAAATGGACCCAATTGTTTATTATTCATGAATTATATGTAGGACTTAAGTTGTTGAAGTTTGGGGACGATTAGGAACAATAGCTGTGATTGTGACCACCTTTGGAGGGGCAATGGGGTATGAGGGGGCAGTCAAGACGTCATTTAATGTGTTCCATTAGCAGCCAGTCTGTGCAATAATGGAACTTTGAGATTGTCATAATAACTAAAGGCTAACAGATGTTCCCCTACAAACCTATGGAGAGGTCAGGGGGATATTCGACATCAGCTTGTGCTATAATTGAATCACCAGATGTTCTCAAGTTCTGCACTGTGTCCCTGTGAAGGGCACGTATTTTTGATGTTGTCAAATATGCACAAGTGAACAAAATGTTTAGGTTGTGTGGCTGACGCCTTTGTTAGAAACTCATTAACTGGGTTTGTTTGAAAGCTGTTTTTTTTTTCCAAGATTATGTTAAAATGTGCAGAGTTTCTGTGGAAGTCAACTCACAACAGTACCAGGTACTATTCAGTTCACCATCAGATAAGATAAGATAATCCCGTGGAATGTTAGAAGACGTTCAGAATCATTCTGACCCATTCTGTTGCCCATTGGTGTCCTGTCTCATCAGTTAATTATAACTGTGAATATTTAACTCGACCCAGACTGACATTAAAATAGAAAGTGTGACAGAACATGCTGGGAGAACATTGGGACCATGCAGGGGCAGAGAGAGAATGTAGTTCAGCGGCACACTCCCTTCCACATCACACTTTTCTATTTTGAAGAGTAGGGTGACTTTTCTAATCTCAAAAAGGAAATAAAAGTGAACCACAGCAGCCTGGACGTACACAGTGGACCGGACACTGTGGTTTGACAAGTACTCAGATGCAAATGTCCACAAATGCTGCCTTTTTCCATTACTTTCTTAGCACATTGTGGACTGCTGTTGCTTGCAGACAGACCAGCGGTTGTTGCAGATGCTCCACCGTTCCCTTCCTGACTCACGTGCACTTTGCACGTTTGACCCACATTAGCCCACAGTGCTGTACTCCTGCTGCTGTGTTTATTAATAACCCTGTGCACATCCTCCCTTCTGAGCTCCCAGACCAGGAAAGGGCTCATATTTCAAGTCAAGATGTAAAACGTAATCTCAAAGATAAGGCTGCTCCATAGAGTGTATGCAGTACTCTCCCTGGGATTCCTCTGAAACAACAGTAACTGAACCACTCAAAGGTATTGTCTGTTTAAACTCCAAACATACGGCAATATACTTACATTAAAAATGTAATCAAAAACACATCAGTCGACCCACTGTCACAGCTAGTGACATATTTCATTACGCGGTGCAGCCGTACAAATTCAAATCAAGTGAGTGATGTCTCCAGCTCACTGTGTTGTTGTTTTTCTACAACTGCCTCCAGTTGTTGCAGTCAGACATACTGTTGTTGTTATCCCGTGACCTCAGTACGCAGCTTTGGTCTTGGGATACCAAACAGCCTCCCCTTATATCAACACCAGATGATTCACATGACTTGTCTTTTTATTTTTTTGTGTGCAGGTTTTGTGGGCAACAACATTTCTCTACCGAAGCCTGCAGCTCTTTTTACTGCATGGGGCTTTGCAACAATATACACATTGATATAACATTGATATTTCCTGGAATCATGGGTACAAGGACCTCAATCCTTCAAGTTTAGAGACTGGAGAGGATGTAAAGTCCTATGTGATTAGTCCAGGAGAGCTCATAAAGGTGGAAGAAGCTGGGAGGTGGTGTGACAGTAAGAGCTTAACTATAGTGTTTAAAGGAGGCTTGGAGAGGTTAACCATCTCTGGTTTTAATGAGTGGAGGGCCTCATTCCTCTTTGACCAAGTGGCCAGACTTAGTCTCCTACACCCAGGATAAGTGGAACTCCTGGCAGAGCTCCAGGACGTCAAGGCAGACTTTCATTTACTTCACTCTAAGAGCAAGAAAGACTCAGAGAATGGGAGACGGAGACAGCTTTGCACATGCAGCCAACCAAACGTGCGCCACTGTCCGACCATAGAAAATCTCCATTCACTCTCAAATTAGCCGTCTGCATGGCCACCTCCGCAGGAGGCCCATATCTGTCCAGTCTGCTCCGACTGTGAACACTCACAGAACCACTTACTGCTCAGTGCTTCTTTAAAATAAAGCCTTGTCAGGAAAAGTGTTAGGTGATGAAGT